ACAGGTCAGCATGCAGCTCTTATTAAATATTCTCATAGATAGTACCTCGCCTTACTAGCTTACTGGTTCTATCTTCTGTAGGGACAGGTCAGCATGCAGCTCTTATTAAATATTCTCATAGATAGTACCTCCTCTTACTGGTTCTATCTTCTGTAGGGACAGGTCAGCATGCAGCTCTTATTAAATATTCTCATAGATAGTACCTCCTCTTACTAGCTTACTGGTTCTATCTTCTGTAGGGACAGGTCAGCATGCAGCTCTTATTAAATATTCTCATAGATAGTACCTCCTCTTACTAGCTTACTGGTTCTATCTTCTGTAGGGACAGGTCAGCATGCAGCTCTTATTAAATATTCTCATAGATAGTACCTCCTCTTACTAGCTTACTGGTTCTATCTTCTGTAGGGACAGGTCAGCATGCAGCTCTTATTATATATTCTCATAGATAGTACCTATCCTTCAGGTTTACTGGGTCTATCTTCTGTAGGGACAGGTCAGCATGCAGCTCTTATTAAATATTCTCATAGATAGTACCTATCCTTCAGGTTTACTGGTTCTATCTTCTGTAGGGACAGGTCAGCATGCAGCTCTTATTAAATATTCTCATAGATAGTACCTATCCTTCAGGTTTACTGGTTCTATCTTCTGTAGGGACAGGTCAGCATGCAGCTCTTATTAAATATTCTCATAGATAGTACCTCGCCTTACTAGCTTACTGGTTCTATCTTCTGTAGGGACAGGTCAGCATGCAGCTCTTATTAAATATTCTCATAGATAGTACCTATCCTTCAGGTTTACTGGTTCTATCTTCTGTAGGGACAGGTCAGCATGCAGCTCTTATTAAATATTCTCATAGATAGTACCTATCCTTCAGGTTTACTGGGTCTATCTTTTGTAGGGACAGGTCAGCATGCAGCTCTTATTAAATATTCTCATAGATAGTACCTCCTCTTACTAGCTTACTGGTTCTATCTTCTGTAGGGACAGGTCAGCATGCAGCTCTTATTAAATATTCTCATAGATAGTACCTATCCTTCAGGTTTACTGGTTCTATCTTCTGTAGGGACAGGTCAGCATGCAGCTCTTATTAAATATTCTCATAGATAGTACCTCCTCTTACTGGGTCTATCTTCTGTAGGGACAGGTCAGCATGCAGCTCTTATTAAATATTCTCATAGATAGTACCTCCTCTTACTGGTTCTATCTTCTGTAGGGACAGGTCAGCATGCAGCTCTTATTAAATATTCTCATAGATAGTACCTATCCTTCAGGTTTACTGGTTCTATCTTCTGTAGGGACAGGTCAGCATGCAGCTCTTATTAAATATTCTCATAGATAGTACCTCCTCTTACTGGTTCTATCTTCTGTAGGGACAGGTCAGCATGCAGCTCTTATTAAATATTCTCATAGATAGTACCTATCCTTCAGGTTTACTGGGTCTATCTTCTGTAGGGACAGGTCAGCATGCAGCTCTTATTAAATATTCTCATAGATAGTACCTCCTCTTACTGGTTCTATCTTCTGTAGGGACAGGTCAGCATGCAGCTCTTATTAAATATTCTCATAGATAGTACCTCCTCTTACTGGTTCTATCTTCTGTAGGGACAGGTCAGCATGCAGCTCTTATTAAATATTCTCATAGATAGTACCTATCCTTCAGGTTTACTGGTTCTATCTTCTGTAGGGACAGGTCAGCATGCAGCTCTTATTAAATATTCTCATAGATAGTACCTCCTCTTACTGGTTCTATCTTCTGTAGGGACAGGTCAGCATGCAGCTCTTATTAAATATTCTCATAGATAGTACCTATCCTTCAGGTTTACTGGGTCTATCTTCTGTAGGGACAGGTCAGCATGCAGCTCTTATTAAATATTCTCATAGATAGTACCTCCTCTTACTGGTTCTATCTTCTGTAGGGACAGGTCAGCATGCAGCTCTTATTAAATATTCTCATAGATAGTACCTATCCTTCAGGTTTACTGGTTCTATCTTCTGTAGGGACAGGTCAGCATGCAGCTCTTATTAAATATTCTCATAGATAGTACCTCCTCTTACTAGCTTACTGGTTCTATCTTCTGTAGGGACAGGTCAGCATGCAGCTCTTATTAAATATTCTCATAGATAGTACCTCCTCTTACTAGCTTACTGGGTCTATCTTCTGTAGGGACAGGTCAGCATGCAGCTCTTATTAAATATTCTCATAGATAGTACCTCCTCTTACTGGTTCTATCTTCTGTAGGGACAGGTCAGCATGCAGCTCTTATTAAATATTCTCATAGATAGTACCTCCTCTTACTGGGTCTATCTTCTGTAGGGACAGGTCAGCATGCAGCTCTTATTAAATTTTCTCATAGATAGTACCTCCTCTTACTGGTTCTATCTTCTGTAGGGACAGGTCAGCATGCAGCTCTTATTAAATATTCTCATAGATAGTACCTCCTCTTACTGGGTCTATCTTCTGTAGGGACAGGTCAGCATGCAGCTCTTATTAAATATTCTCATAGATAGTACCTCCTCTTACTAGCTTACTGGGTCTATCTTCTGTAGGGACAGGTCAGCATGCAGCTCTTATTAAATATTCTCATAGATAGTACCTCCTCTTACTGGTTCTATCTTCTGTAGGGACAGGTCAGCATGCAGCTCTTATTAAATATTCTCATAGATAGTACCTCCTCTTACTGGTTCTATCTTCTGTAGGGACAGGTCAGCATGCAGCTCTTATTAAATATTCTCATAGATAGTACCTATCCTTCAGGTTTACTGGTTCTATCTTCTGTAGGGACAGGTCAGCATGCAGCTCTTATTAAATATTCTCATAGATAGTACCTCCTCTTACTAGCTTACTGGTTCTATCTTCTGTAGGGACAGGTCAGCATGCAGCTCTTATTAAATATTCTCATAGATAGTACCTATCCTTCAGGTTTACTGGTTCTATCTTCTGTAGGGACAGGTCAGCATGCAGCTCTTATTAAATATTCTCATAGATAGTACCTCCTCTTACTGGGTCTATCTTCTGTAGGGACAGGTCAGCATGCAGCTCTTATTAAATATTCTCATAGATAGTACCTCCTCTTACTGGGTCTATCTTCTGTAGGGACAGGTCAGCATGCAGCTCTTATTAAATATTCTCATAGATAGTACCTATCCTTCAGGTTTACTGGGTCTATCTTCTGTAGGGACAGGTCAGCATGCAGCTCTTATTATATATTCTCATAGATAGTACCTATCCTTCAGGTTTACTGGTTCTATCTTCTGTAGGGACAGGTCAGCATGCAGCTCTTATTAAATATTCTCATAGATAGTACCTATCCTTCAGGTTTACTGGTTCTATCTTCTGTAGGGACAGGTCAGCATGCAGCTCTTATTAAATATTCTCATAGATAGTACCTATCCTTCAGGTTTACTGGTTCTATCTTCTGTAGGGACAGGTCAGCATGCAGCTCTTATTAAATATTCTCATAGATAGTACCTCCTCTTACTAGCTTACTGGTTCTATCTTCTGTAGGGACAGGTCAGCATGCAGCTCTTATTAAATATTCTCATAGATAGTACCTCCTCTTACTGGGTCTATCTTCTGTAGGGACAGGTCAGCATGCAGCTCTTATTAAATATTCTCATAGATAGTACCTCCTCTTACTAGCTTACTGGTTCTATCTTCTGTAGGGACAGGTCAGCATGCAGCTCTTATTAAATATTCTCATAGATAGTACCTCCTCTTACTAGCTTACTGGTTCTATCTTCTGTAGGGACAGGTCAGCATGCAGCTCTTATTAAATATTCTCATAGATAGTACCTATCCTTCAGGTTTACTGGTTCTATCTTCTGTAGGGACAGGTCAGCATGCAGCTCTTATTAAATATTCTCATAGATAGTACCTCGCCTTACGGGCTTACTGAGTCTATCTTCTGTAGGGACAGGTCAGCATGCAGCTCTTATTAAATATTCTCATAGATAGTACCTCCTCTTACTAGCTTACTGGTTCTATCTTCTGTAGGGACAGGTCAGCATGCAGCTCTTATTAAATATTCTCATAGATAGTACCTCCTCTTACTAGCTTACTGGTTCTATCTTCTGTAGGGACAGGTCAGCATGCAGCTCTTATTATATATTCTCATAGATAGTACCTCCTCTTACTAGCTTACTGGGTCTATCTTCTGTAGGGACAGGTCAGCATGCAGCTCTTATTAAATATTCTCATAGATAGTACCTCCTCTTACTAGCTTACTGGTTCTATCTTCTGTAGGGACAGGTCAGCATGCAGCTCTTATTAAATATTCTCATAGATAGTACCTCCTCTTACTAGCTTACTGGTTCTATCTTCTGTAGGGACAGGTCAGCATGCAGCTCTTATTAAATATTCTCATAGATAGTACCTCCTCTTACTAGCTTACTGGTTCTATCTTCTGTAGGGACAGGTCAGCATGCAGCTCTTATTAAATATTCTCATAGATAGTACCTCCTCTTACTAGCTTACTGGTTCTATCTTCTGTAGGGACAGGTCAGCATGCAGCTCTTATTAAATATTCTCATAGATAGTACCTCCTCTTACTAGCTTACTGGTTCTATCTTCTGTAGGGACAGGTCAGCATGCAGCTCTTATTAAATATTCTCATAGATAGTACCTCCTCTTACTAGCTTACTGGTTCTATCTTCTGTAGGGACAGGTCAGCATGCAGCTCTTATTAAATATTCTCATAGATAGTACCTCGCCTTACGGGCTTACTGAGTCTATCTTCTGTAGGGACAGGTCAGCATGCAGCTCTTATTAAATATTCTCATAGATAGTACCTCGCCTTACGGGCTTACTGGGTCTATCTTCTGTAGGGACAGGTCAGCATGCAGCTCTTATTAAATATTCTCATCAGTACTTTATAGATTAGTATGTAATCATTTTATATTGATTGTTATATCTATCCCTTTAAATTCTTTAATTCTTTAAACCAGTATGTGAAGGTCTCTTACAAGTATGTGAAATTTCTTGACCCCATTTTACCACCCAGGTCTATCCTACACGAGACACACAAAGCACTACGACACACAGCAGGCAACATCTACTTCAACGACAAGAGTACAGGAAGTGTGGTGGGTCAGCAGCCTTTCGGGGGGTCACGTGCCAGTGGAACAAACGACAAGGCTGTCAGCCTGAACCTCATATCAAAGTGGACATCCCCTCAGGCGATTAAAGAAACCTTGGTCCCCCTTACTACCCACTCCTATCCCTACATGGAACAGTAGTGGAGCATACACTTTAATTTATTTTCACGAACCTTTTTTGGATATTTTGCATGCTAAATTTGTAATTCATATATTGGGAACAACAGGTTCTTTAATAGTTTAATATTATAAATATAATACCAGTTTGGAGGTTTTCACATTAATATTTTAGTTATATCCTATTTTTTGTGTACATGTGTTGATGTCAAGTATAGTAATAGTTTTGTGATTTACACCAATTTATAATAACACAGCTTCTCATTACTCGATCAGAATCTTATATTAGTATATAATTTAAATCATAAATACACATAATATTCCAAATTCAATGTGGGGTCTTCTGGATCCTCTTGCAGGAAAACGCTTCAATATTCCTAAGTTGTGTAAGCATCGTCACGTACGTGCTACGCGCGCAAATGTAGAATTCAAAATGTCACGAGAATTTCAGAAGATCTGTCACAGTTGTGTCAGTTGTTTACTACAAATAATATTGAATACAAGTTCGCTCCATTCTGAGAACAAAATATCAAAATATCATAGGATGTGTTACAGGACGATTTCAAGAAGACAAGTGATCAGTGTTGTCCTGAAAATCAGGTAAGATCTCTTATCCCTCAACACTCAATAACGGTAAACCTCAGTGTTTATTCCAGGGGAGTATAAACTCTCCTGTGTAAGATATTCCTGAATTCCCGTCCTTATCACTGATTAAAAGTGGTTTTTTACATTCCCAATTCTGCGGAGTTCTCATACTGTTTCTGGGTACGGTCATGTGTTGTGTGATGGCAGAAATGCAGCTCGTATCGGACGGAAACCGGGTAGCATTACAGATTATTGTGTTTCCGAACGTGTTTCCCTGCTTTTCTTTGTCGTAGATTATGATTCGTGGGCTGGGCTGGAAAATATTGATCGTAGCTAGGTTGGTTAACAGCTTAACAATTTAAACTTAAAACTGAATTCTTCTTATTTAACCTCATGTTTATAAATTTCGTCGTTGATTATTGGTATCAGCGACGTTACACGTTTACATATACAGGAGCTTCATATGCCAACGAAAACGTGATTTTATATTACCATATCCATCTGATTTAAAATTTAGGGATAATTTACCTCGGTAATTTGAATAAAGTAGACATAGTAAACTATACTCACACAAAAGTCACTGTATTGGCTGTCGACACCGTCACGAGTCTCAACTTGCAACGTCCCATAATCATCTTGGTGGTTACTCAAGATCCGGTCTTGTTTCCGCTTTTCAGATGATTTAAACCCGAAACACGAAACAAGTGACCTGATAACGTAGTAGATCCAGTAGAACGCTGTTATTATCGCTAGCCCACTTACTGGCCACACCCCTGATAAGACTGTTACTGTAAACTGTTACAAGTTATATGCAATGTTGTTATTCTTAAACATTCTGCTACAATGTTGTTTCAAGTATTTTACCTAACGTTTTCTAACACTCCGTTACCTCAAATAACCATATTATGTAAAGAACACTAAAAGTTTGCTTTGTAAGAAATGTGCAGACTTACACCAGAACATGGTGTTGGAGACATCCTCATCAGAAGGGAAAGTGTCAGGGTTACTATGGTTACCAGGGTTACCAGTGTTACCAGTGTCATTCTCCTGGTGTTCCTCTGTCTTCTTAGCGGATCCTTCAACCTGATAATACATTGTTTTAATAGCGCAGTTTCTTACCTTTCTGTTAACAATTAATTGAGCTTTTGACAAAATAGGTTGTTTTAAGGGTTTATGTTATTATACGCGTAACGAACAGCTGGGTGGTCAGTGATAACGCAAGCAGTGTGGTTAACACTGCGTTATCCACCATAACTCATATTTTAAAATTTATATAACTTGATCTTTTTACTAGCAATTAGCATCCCTTAAGACAACAACTTTTAATACTCAGTAAGCATGTCAAAACTAGATAAAACCTTACCAATAGAGATGCAGTGAAAAACAGACGAAGAACAAATAACAGACACCGTGCCACTACCATTATAAACGAACTCTGAAGCTGAGAACATTTTAGTCTTGTAGATGTGACGTCCGTAGGGCGTCTGTTACTCATGTGGAGTAGAGGGAGTGGGGGTGTCACGTGGGGTTGTCACGTGGGGCTTCACGTGGGGTTTATCACGTGGGGTTGTCACGTGTTTGAGTAGATGTACTTTTCTTTGAGTATGTCTTCAGCTATAGACTTTGAAGGTGATTTAACAAGTAAACAGTAAGGCAAATTTATGCAGAAGTATAGATGTCGATATAAGTAATATTAGTACTTCGTTTATAGAATACTGGGGGACTACAGAGTACGGACTCCGTCCAGCAAGTTTCAGTCTTACCACCTTGATTACAATGCGAGTACAAACCGTTTCAGACAAAACTTAGGGAACTTAAAAGAGAAACACCATTTAGAATTAGGACGCGAGCAGGATTATGTAGAAGTGTTGAAAGTAACTATGACAGTTAGTACTCGATGAATACATGGAATTATTTAGTTGTCCCATTAATGATGCATAGTTTGTTAAGTTTCAGATCAGTTCAGCACAATAAATGATACATATAATAAGCAATAAAGTAAGAAATTACTATTGAATAATTTGTCACAAAGATAATATGCAATATTATGTTATCATAAATATCGCTAGATACACCTTTTTTTCGCTTAGAGGTCGTTCACATATTACGTAATCACTTATTAGACAATTGTTACGCCCCTCCCCCTCCGTTATCAGTTTCACACATAGCTATTGTGTTTAAATTACACTAGCGTAATCATTTGGAAACCTCCCCCCCCCCCCTTCAGATGATTACGTAATGTGTGAACGACCCCTTATCGATTTTGCTTCTTTTGGCTACATACTTTACAGTTGTAGAGGCAATCTGTAGTAAGCTGCTACAGATATAATAGTATAACTACATGAAAGGGTTGTTGGTCAAATACGTTAGATAGTGTATGTGCTTTGTATGCTTCATGGTTAAAACTTAAAAGCAGGATGGTATTGATCAGTCAATCATTATCGTCAAAATTAAATCGACCAACAACCCCATCAGCGAAACAGACATTTAAATTTAGTGTTCAACAATCTGAGCAAAATCTTTGAGAATCCGCAACAAAAGTGAAAAATGTTCATTATGACCCTCATCTAGAACAAGGATAACACAACAATAAACACGTGCTCGTGATATCTGAAGGTAAAGTTGAGCTAGCTTGAAAGCAGATGATCCCCTTTATATATAAATTCTCAGTACAATAACAGCAGCTGGCCACTGGGATGAGTACAAACCAAGACTAGGTCTCGAATCATATACGCGTACCAAGTTATCTAAATTTAAACCTCCCTTTTCAAAAATGTTGATTAAATTATTAACAAATCCGCACACCAAGATACCGTTTAAGGTAATCGATATGTTATTTTGACATAATTTGTCTACAATTTCCCCGATCAAAGTTTCATTCAAAACTTTCAAAACATGGATCACAGTTTTAGGACCGTGAAGATAATGACCGGCGATTTGTTTCGGCAAAATCAGGTTAGAACGGTTTGAATCTTCAGTCTCAGTTATAAAACTATCTCTTAAAACTGCAAGAATATTTGATAAATCACAAGTATTTCGTAAATTCTTTGATAATGTAATTAACTGATTTGACGTTAGTTTGGAAACTAAGAGAGTGGCTATATCTGTAACTGGATAATTCAGCTGGATATTGTGACTCACAAAGTAATACTGCACCAAGTCGCAGGCTACCCATACAATGATTGAACGTGATATCTTTATTATACTGTCTATTATAAGCGTACATCGCTCCAAAGTATATGATAAAACTGGTAAGATATGATTGATAAAATCTTGAAAATCATCGATAAACACGCTTAAATATTTCAAGCCACCCATTTCATTAATGAGCCTTGGCACGTAAGTTTTATCATGTAATGTGCCTCTCATCTCTATTATCAAAACCTGATTGAATGCTATTACAGCTACCAGCTCTGAAAGTGTGTATTGTTTTTTAAACCTTGTAACCTTGTATCTAACATTAGCTTTATCAAATGCATCTTGATAAAGCTGTAATTGTGTAGCATTCGGCTCGGATTTGAATAAGACTACTCTATTTTCTTCATCAGATTGGATCACTTCTATGATCTTCCCGCATAACAAGACACTCTTACCGGCTCCCGCTGGTCCATTAATCCACAAAAGCTTCTCTTTAGAATTAAATGCACTGTATTGTTGCTCAGTGAGGTTATGTACTCCAATGTAATCTCTGATCACGGACGGGGCCTCAATAACACCGGGATTGTTACTCCTGAACGTGAACTTTCCACTCCTCAACTTTTCATCAATCTCAGCTACACATCTTCCTAAACTGCACCTCTCTTTATCACAAATGTCTTTGTCAGTACACCAGATTGCCAGTAACATGTTCCTTACTTTTTTAAATCTATCGCCGAACTCTTCTTCACGCTGTGACTCGTTCAACACCACAGAATTAACCTTGTCTTCCCACCATGCACTGAAATTGTCGACATCTGCAAAATCGGGTGCTGGTATGTAGTTCAGTGATTCTGCACTCTGCAAACTTTCAATATCGATCTCAATTTCAGTCTCACTTTTAATGCACCTTAAGCATCCCATCAGTCGCGAAAAAATAGACGAAGGAGGATCGGGGGAAGGTAATACACTGGAGGCTTTTTCATATTCTGTTTCACTTTCAATAATACATGTTCTGTCTAGATCCTCTGCAAATATGATTGAATCGGGTGCTGGTATGTAGTTCAGTGATTCTGCACTCTGCAAACTTTCAATATCGATCTCAATTTCAGTCTCACTTTTAATGCACCTTAAGCATCCCATCAGTCGCGAAAAAATAGACGAAGGAGGATCGGGGGAAGGTAATACACTGGAGGCTTTTTCATATTCTGTTTCACTTTCAATAATACATGTTCTGTCTAGATCCTCTGCAAATATGATTGAAGATAAATCCTTTTCGGTCAACTGGAACTCGTTTCTAAACTGCTTGCTAAAATTGGGATAAGCAGTAAAGTGCAGAACAGTCATACCTTGGTCGATACTCTGGATCAGTTTCACCATTCTTTCTCTCTGTTCTAGTGATTTGTCGAATGTTCCCTTTAACGCTTGATAACCTTTGGACACCTCAGATGGATCAGTTGCCACGATATTGGTCATGTCCTTAACCTCAATTATCACAAAATATCCCTGACCAATGATTAAAAAGTCACACT